ATTTTGAAAAAGACAAAAACTTTTACATCTGAATTGAGTAGTGTAGTACTTGCTAAGTTCTCAGAAATTAAGATAAATGGGTTTGGTGTGACAAAGTAACCTTGAGAATGAAAATGCAAACAAGAGGGAAGAACTCTCTATCCATTATATATCAAATATATAATATGTACCCATGTTTTTATTTATTACAAATATTTATCTACTGTTTGGTAATAAAATTATCAAGAAAGGCTCCAGTAAAAACTCAATAACTTACAATTTAGCTAAAAATAACTATAGCTAAACAACTAATTAAATGATAAAATCAAATAAGTATAAACACAACCAATGACTGGTGTAAAAGATCAGGATTTTTTTAAAATGCCCAATTGTTAAGTAGTTACCAAACAGGAACCAGGAAAGTCTTTAGCCCTCTCCAAATACTGTATTGAAGTTTGAACACCTCCCATGAAAACAGGAAGAGTATGCCTTTTCTGGCTCTTTTCCATTTCTAGTGTGACTGCTCTTTTATTTGTGTTAGGCCAAATGGTGGAACCTCCATTTTCTGTGAGGCTCAACACATGCACCCCCTGAATGGGCCACTCTCCTATTTAGACCTGCTGCCCTCTACACATACTGTAAGAGGGCAACAGAAGGTGAAAGAGAATAACACTTTCTCCAACTTGAATGTTTATGCCCCAAAATGGCTCCTCTTGCAAGAACATCTCATAATTTCTAACCCTACCACCAAGAGGGCCCTCTCCTGGTAGACAAGTGGCAAGGGACACTTCCATCTGCACAGGGCTCTTTTGTTCAGGGAGACGGTAATATAATCATAATGCTCAGTCGAATTCAGTGACGTAGCCACCATGTTCTAATCTACCTGGAGTTTCCAAATCATCCCCAGAAGCAGACCCATATGCAGTGCACCACAATAGTCTAATGTAGAAATTGTACTTCTTCTGTTAAGGAGCTAAACCTATGAGTCACCTCTGCTGAAAATGTGTCCTTTTTGAGACATAATAAAGAATGTGAAAGCTGTTTGATTTATGTCTACCCCTCCTGATGTCCTGCCTTCCACTCCCCATAGGATGGAACTTTCCCTCCAACCCATGACAGACAGGTAACATCAGTGCTGTATGTAACAGTAGCCACCATGTTCTAATCTACCTGGAGTTTCCAAATCATCCCCAGAAGCAGACCCATATGCAGTGCACCACAATAGTCTAATGTAGAAATTGTACTTCTTCTGTTAAGGAGCTAAACCTATGAGTCACCTCTGCTGAAAATGTGTCCTTTTTGAGACATAATAAAGGATGTGAAAGCTGTTTGATTTATGTCTACCATGAAAGTTTCAAATTTATGAAGTTATTACATCCTACATATTGACACAATGCATCTACTTGTGCACAGCATCATATCCACTTCTCTGCTTCTCAGTTCTGTTTGGTAACAAGGCAAGAGAACATAAAATCCCATTTAGGAAATGACTTTCTCTGCATTAGGCCAGGCTACCTGTCCAGCTAGCCCAGTACTGTCTCCTCAGACTTCCAGTGGCTCACCGGGATATCACCATAGTACTGAGGGGATCCTCCTAAGACAGCCAGCTATACCAAGACAAATCCACATGCAGAATGTTATTAACCCTTACCACCTTAAGTGTGGTAATATGATGTTAAACACACTTAAAGTTACATCATACTTACCAGGAAGCAAAGGACTAGGCTAGGAAGAAACACAATACAGGCAAGAATGAGCAGAAGCAAATAGCTTTTGCCCTGGGGACAAGAGTAGGTTCAGTGCCCAAGGGAAGGCTACTAATTCAAAGACAAAGATTAAAAAGCTGCTTTATGGATCCATGATCAATCATGTAGAAGAAGGGTTGATCTGGGGGCAGACATGCTGTTAAGGCAGAAAACTCAATTGTGAATTTGGCCTAATTTGTCCCCCATCTGTGCACCCCACTGGTAGGTTACACATTGCTACTGAAATAACTGTTGCAGTTTTAAATTTCGATTAAATTCTGTGCAGCAGAAGTACAAGGATTTGCAGAGCAGAATAGCAACATGTTCCTCAGAGCAGTCCACCTGTCTTCTCATTAACTGGCATTTACAGTCTCAGTAACTCACTCTGAGACATTAGACGGAGAAAGAATACAACTGAACAAATCAAGCAGCAAACTAACAGACATCACTGCTTTCGAGAACAGACCTCAACAGAGTCTAGACAAGGAAAGGAACATAGAGCAGAGAGGTACTGCTCTCTTTGAATTCAGAGGCAGGGAAGGAACAACTGGATAGACATGACCATCACCTCAGCCCAGAAGGATCCTTTCGAGCCACACCTACTAAAGGTTGTAAGCCGCCCAGAGACCTTTGCTGACCATCATCTCAGCCCAGAAGGGTCCTTTCGAGCCAAACCTACTAAAGGCAACATGCAAGATTGCAAAAATAAATGAACACACACAAAACACAACAACAATAACCAAGCTGGACTGGGATTTGGCAGATCCAGGTTAAGGTCGTGAAGTTATAAAGCCCACTGGGTAAATATGGATGAGCTATTCTTGCTTAGCCGCAGCTATTTCAGATTTAGAAGATAAAAGTAGGGAAGAAGAGAGACACTTAAACTCTTTGTAGAAATGATGGGATATAAACTGAATTAATATAATATCAAAGTCGGTTAATAAGCCACTACAGTCTACTGCACAAGAAACCTAAACCCACATCACTCCATACATAAAGTGCTGAGCATTTTGCACTGAGACATCTATTCTTTACAGAAGGCACATTACCATTATGATGCAACTTGAAATTATTTTTCTCACAACCCATTAAACTAATTCTTTTGAATTAGTTAGAAAGGAAACTTGGAAATATTAGCATTATGTGATAAACATCAGTCTAGACAAAAAGCGAAGTGCTTCTTTATAGTTTAGGCTCGGAACCAAAGAATCTGTTCAGAACTTGTAATGGTGCAGGACGGTCTTCACGTTTAAGCAAATCAAGATCCTGTATGAACCAAAAGATCACACACAGACTGTACATCCTGTGTACTTTAAAGGAGAAGTGAAATCAAATTTGATACACTCAAGTGGACCACATGATTTCAGACTCAGAAATCCTTCAAAATGTTACCTTAGTACAGATTTGGGTCTTTTGGAAACAGCACCCTTGTTGACTAGATCCCTTAAATGTTGCATTTAAGGGATCCAGTCATGGACATCCTGGTTGTAGAACTGACACCCTCTCTCCTTTGATCAGGTTATTTAATCATTACCTCAGTCACAGAAGAGCCATGCCCTCAAAGGTGGCTCTCAAATGTCTAAAGCAACGTTTGAAGAAAGATTTCATTTCAGGATGGTTAAGAGCTCCCTCCCTTCATTTCGTATTTAATTTCAAAAAAATATGTCAAAAAGGAAGACTTCTTTTCAGATTGGTTCCACACACAACATAACTTGTGGCTGCCAACAATGGTAGTTACATACACCCAGTTCTTCGTGCAATAGTGTGTGAAAACAGGTAAAGCTGGACCAAATGTTTTGTTGGAAACATTTCCACAGAACCTCATGGAGTCTGGATAATGCTGCTAGGAAGGGCTAGCTAATACATCTTCAAAAGAAAGGACAGAAAAATTACAAAATGTTTAGCTTGGTCTGAAAAGCACCGAAGGTTTTTCCCGCTTCACTTTTTCTCTAGGAAAAACTCCCTCCAACAACCATGAGTCAGATCAAATGGTAAAGGAAATATATATTTTCATACCTCCCACTGAGGTATGCAAATCCTGCAAGGCTAGTGCCTGAGAAATCAAACCTACAAAATAAAGCCATGCGTATCTCCTGAGGGCAAATGACCAAATAAGGCTAATTTGCAAAATGCAGAGTGAATAAAGCTCATGTTAGAATAAACAGTGTCTTATTCTTTTAAGTGAACTCTGCTTCTAATGATAGAGTTTGGTGTCACACTTTGCTTATAATGCCTTCCTTGAACACTGTACATTGTTGTGCTATGGTATTACAATGTCATGACCGAGCGCTCTTCCACTGTGTATAGCATCATGACATGTAGCATTATGCAGTCAAATAGAGGAGAATGTATTTCTTCCCGGAATACTTCCAAAATGACACAATGTCTCAAGCTCTGTTCAAATACTGCATAAGTTATGACAACAAATACATGAGGAGTGAGCACATTCACTTCAGCTCCTCTAGCACTGGGTTCCTCCCACAACCAACAACCAAGAGAATCTTCTCTGTGGAGGTCCTCCATACAAACTGGAATGGTGGGAAATCAGTTTTCAGATGACATGGAAAACTTACATTCATTAAGTCTCCTTCAGAGTACAGCCATCTCTGTATGGAGCAAAGTGCAAGGCTATTAAAGGTTCTTGGACCAGAACGTTTAGGCCAGACTTCGCCTACCTGGTGCCCTCCAGATATGTTGGATAGTAACTGGGGCACGCTGGCCTGGCAATAATGGATGTTGTAGCCCAGAATAGCTGGAGGGGGCCAGGATGTGGAAGGCTGGGGCAGGCTTTCAAGGGAGGGGCTGTAGGCTTATCGGAGAACGCCTGCAGGAGGAAATATGAGCTGCATCTACTTCAGTGACTGAACAAACAGCACCTCTCTCTTCACATTTCCATTTCTACTTGTTCTTCCCCCCACCTCACCCCATATCCATTCTGCTCCATCTTTGGACTTTAAATAACATAGGCTTCACTCTGGAGTCTGTGTAGTGCAGCTGCTTTGTATTTAGAACCAATGCTGGCTATAGGAGGAAAGAACATATGTTTACCAAAAAATAGAACAAAACAAAACCCTCACCGCTGGTAGAGAAAACACTGGTTGTTTAGAAGCAGGAAGAGACAACTAAACAATCATGTATTAACCATTAGATTACCCTCCATCATTCGGGAACATTACAAGATCAAGCACTGAAATGAGTGTCTACAGGTCTGGTGGCTGTTCCTCGCCTTATGCATCTTCAAGGAGAAAATCCACAGAAAGGCTGAAAGTGCCTTACCTTTCCTTTGCTTGACATGGCTTCTGGAATGAAATTAGGAGACGAGTCAGAGGACACTGCAGAAAAGAAAATGAAAAACAACCATACATTAGCCAGGTAACATTTGCTTTTTATTTTCCTAAATGTATTAAATTGCAAAATGCTTCTCAAGGTTTGATTTGCATGTGAGGGAACTGAGACTGAAGCCAGTGACACACCTCGCATAAAGAAGAACTTGCTTCACTGCCTCAAGATTGCACAGAGCACTTGGTGCATGCTATTGGGCACCTATCTGTGGCTTTCCTGCAGAACCACTGGAAGAGGGTTCCTCAATAAATAGTTCTCTAGAGCAGTGGTCCCCAAACTTGGGCCTCCAGATGTTCTTGAACTACAACTCCCAGAGGCCTTCACCACTGCCCCTGCTGGCTAGGATTTCTGGGGGTTGAAGTCCAAGAATATCTGGAGGCCCAAGGTTGGGGACCACTGCTCTAGAGCCATGGTAACACAAGCCAAATGAAATAAAGCATAGGGATCAATTTTTCTTTCCTATCCATTATATTTCTTTTCTCCAGATGGCCATAAATGTCTCTGGTAAAATTTATATTGCCAGATTGACACAACATCAGCCAGGAGAAGAATGATGAGTCCATGAATGTTGGGAACAGACACTTGATGTTACTGTCCACTGCCATTAATTTCTTGCATCACCTTGACAAACTGTCCAATGATTTCCAAGCATGCTTTCACCATAAAACAGGAATTTGGGGATAACTATGTAAAGATATCTTGGAATTGTTAATGACATATTTGTACTACAGCTATTAGAGATGGTATTAATGAGAAGCTGTGTTTTACCATAAATGAGAAAAACATGGCGAATGTTGACATTTACAGAGGAGAAAGAAAAAAAGGCCACCCTATCTGCTTTCTGAGTTTAGCAAAGCATGCTCCTTCCATTTTACAAAGCTGCAGGTTTCCTTTATTTTTCCTTCAAAGCTCTTGGCCACAGCCTTATGTTAAAAAAAGAAACAAAAAAGGAAAGCCCACCTAGTAAAGACTGTTAAGAACAGTTACAGATCCCCAATGGGTGGACCTTTCCAGCCAGTGAAAATGCAGGGCCTCTCCTTGCAGACAGTGCATCACTGCACTGCGGTTTGTCTGCTGGGCTAAGATCCAATAAGACAGTAACCCTTTGATCTTCAGCAAGAATGCTACAGAGTAGCTCAGGAGAGACAAAGGAGACCACACCTTCCCAAGAACTGCATCTCACACCATGATGTAATATGTGCTGCTACATATACTGTACACATAAAGAAATAACTCCTCTTTGATGCAGCAACTACAGTACACCATTACTATGTCATATGTCATGATATAGAAACTAAGGGCCAGTCACAGATCACCAACATATAGTAACATTGGGTAATACAGCAACAGGGAATGTGTGGTCCTTCAGATGTTGCCAGACTCCAAAGTCCCATCATCCTTTCCAATGGCTATGTCTGGACAGGGCTGCTAGGAAGTACAGTGCAACAGCATTTGGAGGGCTACACATTCCATGCCTTAATACATCCAGTCTTGTCTCTGGTGCATTCACCTACAAAATGCACGTGTTATGGTGCAGCTCAGCCATGAAAGCCTTTTGACATAGCCATGATTTGAGCAAGAGCACTCTGTCAAACTCCTAAGGCTTCAGAAACAAAAAAATTCTGGGGTGTGTGTGATCAAATTCTTGCAGAACTGGCACACAGATGACTGCAACATCTCAAGCAATAATGCATTTAGGGGTGTCCTTTATATAAAGCAACTGAGAAGACACTAGGTCTCAAACAGAAAGGAGTATTTCATTTTGTGAGTGGTCTGCCTATAACCACGAAAATCCCATCATCTTGGCTGCTAAAAGAAAAAAGAAAAAACAGTCTTTCAGGCTATTTCGTCATTTCCTTAAAAGAAGGAGTATAGTGTGGGTGACCCGAAAAATTCTGAAGAAACTATGACTAGAAAGGGAGATATGAAAGAGAAGGTTTCACATAAGTCACTTCTTGCTCATCTTTCACTACCACCTACTAATAATTTTAGCAGTAGTAACTTTACCCACCTACTCCTAGGTCTGCCAGCATGAAGGCAGGAAGTTTTGCCTTGAACTGGCTTTAGATTTCTTGATGTAACCAAATCTACCTGGTACATAACCCAGACATAAAGACAAATCAGAGCAATGGCAGTCTTCTTGCCTTCCCTGATGTTGTGTCATTCAGCCAAAGGTGTGTGCTCTTGCGTGTGTGGAGGGGAAATTGTATCAAACAGCTGTGTGGCCACGGCCCTACTGCAGAGCCACCAAGGATGAAGTCCAACCAAGTTGTCCACTCCTATTCTAGTACTATATAGCACATGGGCATGCTTGGCTTTCATTTCCTATACTAAAGGCATGAAGCGACAGCTAGTTTACTCCATAAATTTACAGGCAGTTACGTCCCAGTAAAGAGAAGACCCATGGTTCTTACACTCTGGCCAAAGTATCAGCATTTGTAGCCACACAGAAGAGGAGTAATACTTCAGTGTGGCATGTTGGAGACTGAGTCATTTCCTGTCTCACCCCCTAAATCTCATATCCTGATAATCTCAAATTCTGTGCAATGTGCATGCAATTTTCAGTTTTTGGAGATTCTCATTTATCTGGAATTGAAAATGAGATTTTAGCTAGCATGTTGTGGGGACTGTAACTCATCCAAGCTTTCACATTTAGAGATAATTGAAAATGAGATTTTAGCATGTTGAGGGGACAGTAACTCATCCAAGCTTTCACATTTAGAGAAAAGTACCCAGAAACAGATACACAGTTCTTAGTCCAAAGACACAATAATTAAAACAAAACAGAAGCCCCATTGCTATTGTTACTCCAAGATTTGGGGGTATACTCAGTAGATAAAGCTGAACTAAAGAGAAGTCCAGTGACTGTTATCAAGTTTAGACCACCATGACTGGATCCAGCAATTCCTTGCACCTAGCAGGACTAAAATACCAGACTCCCAATTCCAAGACATGTCAGATTTCCATGGAATTGCAGCTCTATTGAAGGAGTTAGGGTCTATGTCTCCCTATGAAAGTACCTTTTTGGAGAACAAACTGACAAAGGAATTTACAACTTTCAGTCACCAAAAAGCAAACATACCAGACAAGTGACAAGTGATAAAACACAAGAATACAATGGACAAGCAGCAAAGGCGTTGTTCTACAAAACATCCAAAGGCCGTGAGTGGAGGGATTCCATTCACACAGACAAGGAAACCTTCTCAGGGGATCCCTCAGAAGTGACACTATCCTGGATAGCTGCAGGACAGCTGTCTACAGTTGCATCCAGGGAAGCAATCCTAACACTTTCTTTCCAAGATTAATTAGGCTCTCCACATATTTAAAGAAAAGACGTTGCTGCAAGGTAGGGAATACATGACCTGAATTGTTTTGTAGGAGCTCAGAGAGAAATTTTTGATAGTACACTATTAAATGATTTGCAAGAATGAATGAATCTGTTGCAGGTTAGTTTCCCTATCCTTTTCTTCAGTGACTTCTCTATTGTTAACAGCAAGGAAGGGATCAGGGCACAGAAGCCGCCAGTACTTATTTCCAAGCCTTCTCCATCTAGACAAACAATGATTATTTTAGTATATAAAGCATCCAACTCTATGAATCCAAGCTAGCAGAGCAAAAAGGAGGGTTATTTTTAAGCACTGTAGGCAGTATGCTATGTCATCCGCAGCCTCTGAAAAGTTTTTACTCCCCGTTTAAACAAGTAGCCATGCAGCCTTGCATGTGTCATCTCAGAAGTAATTCTGATTGAGTTCAGTGAGGACTACTGTCCTCCAGATGGTTGCGAGGCTGCAACCCGTAAGGCATTTCCAGAAGTAGTATGGCACACACAGACCACACCCAATCCAAAGAGAATGAGTGCATGAGGCTAGGCTGACTGTAGCGCTTTAGCATATAACTATAACAAACATCAGTTGCCAACATACAGAAAATGTTAGCCATTTTTTTTCAGAGCCCAAACCAATTCTTACACCCTTGGAAACAATGTTTGTGAGTGTTTTATTCCTTCATAAAAATTAAGTGGGCAGCTGAGCTGAAAAGTCTACAACTAAGCAAAATATTTGAAATGCCATAATCTCTGTTCACATGATTTTTGAGGCAGGGTGGGGAAGGGACATGGCTCATGATATTTTAACCCTTACAATCTTCAGTGCCCCTTTTGCTCAGGAACAAAAAGGCATTCACATTATAATCACATGGGAAAAGAGGTCCCTCCCTAAGAAGGCCCCAACCATTGCAGTGTGTTTAGCCTTTGCCTGCCAAAGATCCCGAGGCCAAGAACAGTTTATTCTGAAATGCAGCCACAAAACGGCTGTCTCCACGGCTCCTGCAGTTTAATCTCTGCACAAGTGATATACAGTCTATGAAGCTTTACAAGGGGGAGGGGAGAGGTTTCCTACAGATATGGATCAAGTCAGGCAGACACGTCACCCTCCAGATTGGAATCTGCTAACAGTTTTTACAGTGCCCACCATTCTCATATTTTTTGTCTTTTGGGGTGGATGCGTGGGTGAGAGAGAGAAAAAGTAGTGCATGAATTATTGGTCTCCCTAAAATGGCAGGGACTTTCACCATTTTCTGGATGCGGGAATATTTACCCACTCCGATCCCACAGCTTTCGCCTGGCACGCGCAACTTCAGCCCTACGGCTTTCGTCTACCGTAGAGATAGATGCCCAGAGCGATGGGTTTCCTTCCCAAGAAGAGTCGACGGCAAAAACCTCCCCCGCGATCCATCCCCGCTCGCTCTCCTTGGCCATGTGCCCGGACCACACCTACCGGCTTCCACAAATACTCTACAACGAAACCCCCCAGGCAAGAGAGCCTCTCCTCTTTAGCAAGACCTCCTGACTTCAGGAGGCGAGGCTGGGGGAATCCCCACCGGGCTTTTGCCATTACCGTGCAAAAGGAAAGAATCAGGCTGAGACTCTCAAAAAAAAAAAAAA